GGGGTTACCAGAAAGCCCCAAAACAAAACTCTGTAAATGTTCCTAATGCAAAAAACCCCGGAGTGCAGCGGCTGGAGATGTAAAAAAAACCATCTGAGAACCGGCTGTCTTTACCCGTCAGAAGTGAAATCGTCATCTTTTGCAGGTCACTTTTTTATTACGTGTATGCACACAGAGGAGCAGAAAGCCTGATACCCGATGTGAATAAATGAATTCTTTCAGGAGGGGAATGTGCTATTAACTGGGCTTTCTGCAAACAGAGCCTTGTGCGTCCAGGGGAGAGGCCAGCTCCGTGTCGGTGTATAACCAGTCCTCTGCACCTCTCCCGGACTCGGAATGTATCCTGTCACCATTTCTGTGCTGGCTCCTGTACCGAGCTCCGTTGTGGATGGCAGCTTGGGGGAATGGTAAACTAGGGCTGGGGTTCCCGTGTCCTGTTAGTGATTGGCGACCCAGCTTTAGCCCCAGAGGACAGGGGAAGAAATGACAGGGGTCACCAGGGTGCTGCGTTGGCTCTGGCTTCATGGTCGCTTTGTTGGAGAGCTCGGGCTCCTGCCAGAGCAGGTGTGCTGTAGCCAGCTAGCGGTTTACCCAGGCTGCACACAGAATTTTGTGGAATGACTTGAAGCTCTGTATTCCTTTCCTTTGTAAGTAAACGGGAGAAAAACCACTGTGTTTTCTGCCTACGTGTAATAAAGGGGAGGAACCAGAGTCCCTCGTGGTGCCTCCTTTTTGCTGTGCCACAGATCGCTGCCCTATTAGTGCTGTTCCAGCTGTGCTTCTGCATCTATAAAACTTGTCTGCTGAAAGTAAGCGGGCAGTGTCCTGGGCTGCTTTGTCAAAACCAAAGTGAGTCCCTGCTGTACCAGACTTTGATTTCCCTGAGCCTTTTCTCTGTGGGTTTGTTTTTTTTTTTTTTTTAAAAAAAAGGCCCAACAGTTGCTACATTTAACTTCAAAAATTTTTCTGTTTTTACCAAGAGAGGCTTTTGGTTGTAGCACCTCAATGTCACGAGTATCATTTTGGAAAGGCTTGCTGCTTTTTCTGTGCTTCAGCCTGTCTTACCTTTCCACTTCTTTGTCGTTGTGCATCTCACAGACTAGTGCAGTTTCAGGGCTTGCACAGAGCGCAGTCCTTTGCCTGAGCCACCTCGCTGCAGCCATGGAGGAAACTGCTGTGCCAGGAAGTCTGGTCTCCTAATTGACCCCTTGGTTTTGTACTCAACAATACCTAAACTTATTCTGGGGCAGACTTTGTGCAGCTACTTATTCTGGTTGTAATTAAGCAGTGCAGCCAAGGAGACTGGTACTGTGTTTTCCTCTGCCTAAAGACAATGCATCTAAATGGAGTAACCTGCTGTATAAACCACTCAAAACAAATTACTCCTACTTCCCTCTGATACCAAGATGCCTGAAGTAAGCTTTGAATTTGCGGGCAGTCAAGCCTGTTTCCTCTGGCAAGAGGTTTGATCTGAACTGGCATGCTGGTTCCTGGAGAGCTACTGCAGTTTTCTTTTGCAGGGCTTGGGTCTTGCCTACAGCCAGTATCACTGGAGCTTTTATTTTTATTTAAAAGGATCTGACTACCCCTCATTTCTCCCCAGAGCTTGTGCCTTCTCTGGAAGTAAAGTGCAAAGTGATTCCTGTAGGAATAAATGCTCTCCTGTAATGCATCTGACTGAGACAGCCATTCCCGAGGAGGCATTGAAGAGTTAAACCCAAGCAGCTGCTGCTTTATTTGAAGTGGCTTGTAATTTTCTTCCTTTGATGCAAAGTGGGGAATATAATCAAGATGGCTGAATAGAGAATTTTAAGTATATTTTGGTGAGACAGCAGGGAAGGGAAATAGAGAGCAGCTTCTTGCTGGGTGAGGAAATTAAATATAAAAAAACCTAGCGCTGAATTGCCACCAAGCTGGAACCTTATCATATTTGAGTGCTGTTTAAAATAGTGCTTGACTTGATTCTCAGAAAAAAATAGCAGGTGCTTGTGCGAGGAAATGTAGCAACGGTTCAGTCATACAATGCTGAACAGTTTTTCTCAGCAGAGGAGGTTGCATCTAGCAGGCAGGAGGAGTTAATCTGTGAACATGAGCAACTGCCTGTGTTTTGTTGGAGTGACTGTGTTTTGTTTGCCCGCGACAGCAGAGTTAACGATCCTGTCTTCGTTAGGTGAAGTTATTCTGAGATGCACCGAAATTGGGTGACGTATTGGGTCCCATCCCATCTTCCCCCTGCCAGCCCAGCTTTGAGTATCTGCTTCGCTGCACAAGGGTGAGATCCTTTCTTGGATGGTTTTGAGCTCTTCAGAAGGAGGAGGAAGGCTTCCTCGTATCTCGAGGAATGATTTCCTGGAATGCCTCCTGGCTCCTGACCAAAGTGTGCCGTGAGCTCCCAGCCCAAGCCTCTGCCGTGACTTAATGCTGTTGGACAGGTCTCCTGCCGTCGTTGCTC